TTCTGACACTCTCCTTACATTCTTTTCTCTAGCCTGTTATGTGGATCTAGGGTCCCACCCAATCTCTATCCATTCATCCATCACCTTCGGTGCCTCTGCTGGGTGTAAGCAGTTTACATCATTTTTCCTTTCCAATTCACCATGTTTCTCAAGACCTTGTTCAGTAAACAAATTATATTACAATGGCCTGTCTATTTTTATGATGTACTAAAGCCTAAAACAACATTCAAGTCTCCATTTTTGATCCAAAATCTCTATCTTTAATCTATTTGTAATGCCAAGCAGTAATTAATACACTATGCTGAATAGGGTTTCTGACCAACATCTTACAAATGTGTAATTACACATGCATATGACAGTCAGGTTGACATGTCCACCCTGTAAACAGCATCAGGAAATTGTTACTGAGTGAAATGACTTTAGGGAGGGAGAAAAGCTGCGCCTTCCGTACCCACCATCAAACACAGTCACTGGGAAAGAGGACAGAAGGTAAGTATACAGTATGTACATATGAATAAATATCTGAGCATGTATTAATGCAACAATGCACTAATAACCCTAATGGAAATCAATAGGTTGCATAGATATATTAAGACATAGTTGCATTTTGATAATCCTGTGCCAGATTGAACTGGCTCTACAACAGTAGCCAACAATTGTGCAAGAGGAGCATGGAGAAAGTGATGCTCTCCCATTATTTGGCACATCTGTCCCTATGATTTGGTATTGTATGTCATAGAGACCAGTTTAAAAGCTGTGCTGAGCTAGTGTTGATAGTCTCAGCCTTGTATTCTTTTTTCAGTGGTTTTAAGATTCTGATAAATGAGACCTGCAATAGAACATTGCACCATAAGATAATTCTACACAGGAGACTAGCCAGCCAATCAACCAGTCACCTGTTCCCTTCCACTCCACTTGACCTCCCAGTTTTCTGTTCCTCTCTACAATGTATGCTCAAGGCTCATATGACATGCTTAATCCCATCTCAGATTACCAAAGCAATTTGTTGTGTTCACATAACATGATATGTTCAGACAAGCATGTTACTAATTAACCCAATATGTTAAGACAAAATTTTCCCGTAATGTGCTAAATAACACATCCCCCTTTTAGCCTAATCTAGGCACAAGTTCCCCTTTATGGATTACTGCCTTGTTGTGGCGAAGGGGCTTATGTAACTCAATGAAGCTATAAGCTATGCTGTGCAGGGCCACCCAAGACAGACAGGTCATAGCAGAGAGTTCTGACAAAATGTGATCCACTGGAGAAGGAAATGACAAACCACTCCAGTATCTTTGCCATGAAAACCCCATGGACAGTACTAAAAGGCAAAAAGATATGACGCTGGAAAATGAGCCCCTCAGGTCGGAAGGTGTCCAATATGCTACTGGGGAAGAGCAGAGGGCTAGTACTAGTAGCGCCAGAAAGAATGAAGCGACTGGGCCAAAGCCGAAAGGACCCCCAGCTGTGGATATATCTGGTGGTGAAAGGAAAGTCCGATGCTGTAAAGATTTTTTCTCCATAGGAACCTGGAATGTAAGATCCATGAATCAAGGCAAGCTAGATGTAGTCAAAAAAGAGATGACAAGACTGAACATCGACATCTTAGGAATCAGCGAACTAAAGTGGACAGGAATGGGTGAATTTAACTCAGATGACCATCAGGTATACTACTGTGGGCAAGAATCCCTCAGAAGAAATGGAGTAGCCTTCATAGTCAATAAAAGAATAGGAAAAGCCATACTGGGATACAATCCCCAAAATGACAGAATGATCTCAATTCGAATCCAAGGCAAACCATTCAATATCACAATAATCCAAATCTATGCCCCAACCACTGATGCTGAAGAGGATGAAATTGACCGGTTCTATGAAGCCCTACAGCACCTTATAGAATTAACACCTAAAAATGATGTCCTTATCATCATGGGGGATTGGAATGCTAAGGTAGGAAGCCAAAAGATAACCGGAATAACAGGCAAGTTTGGCCTTGGAGTACAAAATGAAGCAGGGCACAGGCTGATAGAATTTTGTCAAGAGAATACGATGGTCATAACAAACACTCTTTTCCAACAACCCAAGAGACGGCTCTACACATGGACATCATCAGATGGTCAACATAGAAATCAGATTGACTATGTGCTCTGTAGCCAAAGATGGAGAAGCTCTATACAGTCAGTAAAAACAAGACCAGGAGCTGACTGTGGCTCAGATCATGAGCTTCTCGTTGCAAAATTTAGGCTTAAATTGAAAAAAGTAGGGAAAAGCACTAGGCCACTCAGGTATGAACTAAATCATATTCCTAATGAATATACAGTAGAGGTGACAAATAGATTTAAGGAATTAGATCTGATAGACAGAGTGCCTGAAGAACTATGGATGGAAGTTCGAAACATTGTACAAGAGGTAGCAACTAAAACCATCCCAAAGAAAAAGAAATGCAAGAAAGCAAAATGGCTGTCTGAGGAAGCTTTGCAAATAGCTGAGGAAAGAAGGGAAGCGAAAGGCAAAGGAGAAAGAGAAAGATACACCCAATTGAATGCAGAATTCCAGAGAGTAGCTAGAAGAGATAAGAATGCCTTCTTAAATGAACAGTGCAAAGAAATAGAAGAAAACAACAGAATAGGGAGGACCAGAGATCTCTTCAAGAAAATTGGAGATATGAAGGGAACGTTTCATGCAAAGATGGGCATGATAAAGGACCAAAATGGCAGAGACCTAACAGAGGCAGAAGAGATTAAGAAGAGATGGCAAAACTACACAGAAGAACTATACAAGAATGAGCTTAACATCCCAGATAACCACAATGAGATGGTCATTGACCTCGAACCAGACATCCTAGAATGTGAAGTGAAATGGGCCTTAGAAAATCTGAGCAACAACAAAGCTAGTGGAGGTGACAGTATTCCAGCTGAGCTATTCAAAATCTTAAAAGACGATGCAGTAAAAGTGCTACACTCAATTTGCCAGCAAATTTGGAAAACTCAACAGTGGCCACAGGATTGGAAAAGGTCAGTTTACATTCCAATTCCAAAGAAAGGCAATGCCAAAGAATGTTCAAACTATCGCACCATTGCACTCATTTCACATGCTAGTAAAGTTATGCTTAAAATCCTACAAGCTAGACTCCAGCAGTATGTGGATCGAGAACTACTAGAAGTACAGGCAGGATTTCGAAGAGGCAGAGGAACTAGAGATCAAATTGCCAACATACGCTGGATCATGGAGAAAGCTAGGGAGTTCCAGAAAAACATCTACTTCTGCTTCATTGACTATGCTAAAGCCTTTGATTGTGTGGATCACAACAAATTGTGGCAAGTTCTTAAAGAGATGGGAGTACCAGACCATCTATTTGTCTCTTGAGAAACCTATATGCGGGTCAAGAAGCAACAGTGAGAACTGGAACACGGAACCACTGATTGGTTCAAAATTGGAAAAGGAGTCCGGCAAGGCTGTATACTGTCTCCCTGCCTATTTAACTTATATGCAGAGCACATCATGAGAAAGGCAGGGCTAGATGAAACAAAAGTTGGAATTAAGATTGCCGGGAGAAATATCAACAACCTAAGATATGCAGATGATACCACGCTAATGGCAGAAAGTGAAGAGGAACTAAAGAGTCTCTTGATGCGGGTGAAGAAGGAGAGTGCAAAAGTTGGCTTGAAACTCAACATTAAGAAAACCAAAATCATGGCATCCGGCCCTCTCAATTCCTGGCAAATAGATGGGGAAGAAATGGAGGTAGTGACAGATTTTATTTTTCTGGGCTCCAAGATCACCTCAGATGGGGACTGCAGCCAAGAAATTAAAAGATGCTTGCTCCTGGGGAGGAAAGCTATGGCAAATCTAGACAGCATACTAAAAAGCATAGACATCATCCTGCCAACAAAAGTGCGTATAGTCCAGGCCATGGTTTTCCCAGTTGCAATGTATGGCTGTGAAAGTTGGACCATAAGAAAGACTGAGCGCCAAAGAATTGAGGCCTTTGAACTATGGTGCTGGAGAAGACTCCTGCGAGTCCCTTGGACTGCAAGGCGTTCAAACCGGTCAGTCCTAGAAGAGATCAACCCTGACTGCTCTTTAGAAGGCTAGATCCTGAAGTTGAAACTCAAATACTTTGGCCACCTAATAAGAAGGAAGGACTCACTGGAGAAGGGCCTAATGCTGGGAAAGATTGAGGGCAGTAGAAGAAGGGGACGACAGAGAATGAGATGGCTGAATGGAGTCACTGAAGCAATAGGTGTGAACTTAAATGGACTCCAGAAGATGGTAGAGGACAGAAAGACCTGGAGGAACATTGTCCATGGGGTCGCGATGGGTCGGATACGACTTCGCAATTAACAACAACAACAACAACAAGGCACAAGTTCTGATATCAAAGAGAAGTTCTGTGAAAGAGATTTCACCCTTGTTGTTCCTCTGCCACAGCAAAATATATTGTATTTTCTGCATGGCACAGCATACCCCTAAGATAGTAATAACTTCCTCTTGAATGTAGACCTTCTGTTCTGGCACTCAGAGGATGAAATTGCCACTAAAGATTAGAAGATGTCAAACAAAATTAAAATAAGAAGCATTGAAGTCAACTTGGTTTCTTCAGATGTGTCAGACTTGGAGATAGGCCAATTGCTTACCAGAAAATTATGGGCAGCTGTAATCTAGAGAGCACCTGATCATAGAAGGAGGACAGTATTTACATTTGTTTGGAAAGGAACAAGTGTGCAGTGAAGACATAACTAAACACCAACTTCTGTTTTTGTGGGTATTTGAATTCTGTATAACCTTCTCATTGTGTCCCAAGACATACTCTTTATCTGTTTCTAGCAGCACTATAAGTCTGTAGGAGGCACCTGCATTATTTAATAAAACCTCTTTACCCAAAGAACTCAAAAGGATGTTCGATAAAAGCCAAATATAACAGGTTTAGGCAAAATGTAGCAGGGCTTTTTTGGCAATTGTTGATACTTAAACATATTTTGTAATTTACTTTTATATTTTAGAAGAGGACCTTCCTGGAGAAGACGACGAAATGCCTTCCTTCAGATATAGACCAAATGGTAAGAGCAAATTAAGCCTGGCTGGGTTGTCTCCTCATTGTCCTTCTTTTTCCATTTCATTCCAGGGCCAGAAAATATTGGAAAACTCTACTGGGTTCTCCAAAATCACCCTTCCACCCTTGAGGACTATGTTCCGTTTTCATTCAGGGTCTGCTCTCACAGTCCCTTCTCTGTGGGGTATATTCCCAAAACCTGAGTCATATGAATGAAATCAGAAGCTGAACTCAGCCCTAGATATACCAGGCTCTCCATATGTACTTTATCTCTTGCAGGCCGGATGAGGACCAACTGCAGCCAGTGTGAGAAAAACCTAACTCTACAGACATCTGTGAAAGTGTTGTATGTCTTTGTTGTCTTGCTGGTAATGGCAGTGGTGGTGCTGGCAGCTTTAGGTAAGAAAGGGACTACTCATTTTTTGCTTAAGTGTTTATTAGGCCACCTAGCTTCATGATGATGCTGGGCAGCTTACAGTAGTAAAAACAATACAAACTAATATCAACAAAGCAGAAAGAAAAAGTTGACTGAAGAGACAACCATCCAATTCATTACATGAAAGTCTAATGAAAGGCTTATCACCCATCTTAGCTCAAGGCCTAGGGAAAAATATATTTTAATGACTTTTTAAATGAAGGCAATCTAATTAATCTATCACATTAATATTTGGAGGAATACAGAGTCCAGGTACATTGACAGAGAAGGCCCAGTACTGGGTTCCTGTTAGTTATAATCAACACCTTGAATTGCACCTGGAAGCTGACAGGTATGCCCATTACAGGCAGTCCTAAAGTTACGAGTGTAATGGAGCCTGCCCATTCCACTCGTAACTCAGAAACTCATAGAGTGAATTTCGTACCTCAAACGAGATCACTCCCTTGCTCGTTAAGATGTACGATAAGACATTAAGACGTTAAGTGAACACAAGATATCTCAGGATAGGGAAGGCCATGGAGGACCTAGTGATGGAACAGGCCCCCAAGGCCTCCCCAACCTATTAAGATATCTCATGCTTCCTGCCGCTGTGGATGTACCTGAACAAGATCCATCTCCTCTCTGCTGCGGTTCCTGCTGCTGCCTAGATCTGAGGCCAGGAGATGCTTCTGCGGCCCCCCACTCATGGCCCAATCCAGGCTCTGGAGGCCTTTTCCAGGCCGTTTGCCTGGATCTGCACCGGGAGATGCTCCGGAGGCCTTTTCCAGGCTGCTGATACCTGGATCTGAGGTTAGGGGATGCTTCCACAAACCTCCCCACAGCCCAATCCAGGCACCAGAAGCCTTTTCCAGGCTGCTGTCGCCCAGAAATGGGCCACTGGAGGGCTACCAGGGTGAATGTTGCAGTGCCACTGCAGTTGCTCGTAAGGGCGAACAACTGCCGTGGTTCAGCAACATTCGTAATTTCAGGACTTGCTCATAAGCACTAGGGCTCTCATCACGTAACTTTGAACGAGCATCAAGTGAACGCTCGTAACTTGGGAATTACCTGTATATCCATACCACTGTATTTTGACCTGATAGTGAAACAACTGTGCGGCCTTCAAGAGCAGCCTTGTGTAGAGGGCATTACAATAATCATGATCAGGACTTGAATGACTGTCTGGAGAGCTTACTAATACAAGGACAGTCACAAGATGAATTTGTGGGAGGTTTCCTAGCCACAGCACTGCCTCTTTGAGCAGGAACTAGGAAACCAGGAATATGTTGTTGCTGTAGCTGCTGTTGCTGCTGCTGATGATACCCTAGGTCAGTGGTTCTCAACCTTTTTATACGGCGACCCTAGTCATAAGGACGCGCCGCCCCCATGTGCGGCGCACATGCGTGGGGGGGTGCCCCCATGTGCGGCATGCATGTGCGGTGGCGCCCCATGCGCGGCGCGAATGCACGGCGGCACCCCCATGCGTGGTGTGCATGCACAGCGGCGCCCCTGAGGGAAAAAATGGCGGATCGCGTTGTTTGGCGACCCCCGTAAAATGGTTGTTCGACCCCAAATGGGGTCGCGACCCAAAGGTTGAGAACCGCTGCCCTAGGTTCTTAGGAAAAACTTGATACATATGAAGGCCAACAGCAGCTAAAGAACAGGCATCTGTGGTTTCCCATTGTTGTGTACATAATGCATTGTAATCTTAACCCTCAGAGGCAGTCCAGAAGGACACCATTCTTGATATTGAAATCTGCTGAAAGATCAAGGAGAGCCAGGATGGTAGTTCCAGAGGTCATCAAGAAGCCAATCTATGTACCATGGCCAGTTTGAAATACAACTGAAGTGTTTATGTAATCCATTTTCTCCACATTCCTCTAGTGCTGCATCCCAACTACCTTCTCAAAATGTTCTCCATTCAAACAATAGATAGTACATTCCAGTCACAATTAGAACTTTTTAATACTAGGCTGGCCTTAGCTCATATACACATATCTCAAGGGCTGTTGTAATATTCAGGACTGCTTTTTTAGATTCCTTTTAACAGTACTCATCAGTGTACCAAACACCGTTGTCCTTTTAGAGACTGGACAAAGCTCACTGCAAGCAAGGACTAAACTCTCACTCAAAATATATGCATTCCAATCCACATTAGGATTACTTCCTTACTTTGTTGATGCTGTACTTAAAAGTTCCTGGTTTAAAATCGTATGTAGGAAAATTAGATTGGCTTCTCTCCAGATCATCTATTTTTAATGGGCCATACTTCAATGTTTTGTTAATTAAGCAAAAACTCTAGAATATAAGACTTGATTTGTAAAGCTTAATTCATCCTGTTCTGTTCATTTAGGCATTTATTATTAAAATAATTGACATATGAGCCTCATATTTAAATAATATAGCATTTATCAGATTATTTTTGCAAAAAGTACAATTACAGTAAATGCCTTTCTATCACATGCTTTGTTAGAAAGATTCCAGAATATACTCTGTACAAGGTCTTGTACAAAGACTCTACTCTTGTAGTAAATCAGAAGTAGAGTCAATGGAGCAAATACATTTGGCATTTGATTTTACTATGTTGAAGCAGACCTTTATCTCTCTATTGATTTTTCAACCAGGTTGTTTAAACATATATACAAATTTTGTCTTCTCCAAGTTAAGACCCATCATGACTCTGTCAAAAGCCAAGTTTCTGTTGTTGTAATTCCAAGAAGAAACTATTTTCTGAACCATTTGTTTCTCATGCAATATCATAAATTGTTAGATTTGTTCTTGGGTCTTTTGTCTATAATAAGCCATTTTCTTACCTACTCAGTACATAGGGGCATAAATTCAATAAATATGTGGTTGAGTTAGCATCTCTAATAATCTTGCCTGCTTCCTCAGGAGTTATCAGGGTCAAACTCATCTTAGCCAACTACATAAGATCTTGCCTCAACATAACTAGCTCATTCAACTCCAGGCAAGTCCAAGCAACTTTATCCACCAGATAGCTAGAATATTCTTCATTCCAGCCCTAGGAATCTCATTATGTCCCTAGCTGCCTCTAATAGCTCAAGCCATGCAAAACAGCAGAAAAAGGCCTTAGTAGTCCACATTTCTTTCTAATGTTAGCTGCCGTGGAAGGAGGAAGGCAAGAAATATCCAACAATTCTTCCTTCTTCCCAGATTCCTTTCTGATGGTATTGCTTGGTCCAGCCTTGTCTTTTTTCTAACAATTAGCCTGCACCTGTTCCACTTTCTCCTCATCTGATGACTCAGTTTTAAGAGCTGGCTAGCAAAGGGCAATCTTGGGATGTGAGTCCTTTGGTGGAAGTGTTTGGTTTACCACTGCCTCTTTGCCTGCCAGCTTGGATTCCATCTGCTTAGCCTGGAACATCTGCAAATAAGTCTCATCTTTTCTATGAAGCCTTTTGGCAAAATGTTTTAATATATCTATTTGCAAGATGGTCTTAAAAACATGAAACCAAACCATTATCAGATTGATCTGGTTGATATATCGCATACATCATTCAAATGTTGATGTGTTTATCCATGGTTTGTTGAAGAAGTCTTTGTTGGCTGGGTTCACAATGTGCTAAGCCAAAGACAAAAGAATTATTGATTCCTCCATATAATAATTGTAAATTCCATCAAACAATGTCTGCCTATCCCAGGTCTTTAGGAAGGAGTCAATAGGTGGATAAAAATGCCCAATCCAGTTTGAACATCTGATTGATTGTGTGACAAACCATTAATAATGAGCTTGTTTGCTGCCTGATTCCCAACAGCTGGGCTGCATTCTCAGTTTTCTTCCATTTTTGTTATTGCTTTTTTGTTCTTAGTTTTAGAATAAAACCCCATTCGGCAGGACCTATCCTCTTGTAATCTGAAAGTATTCCTTGAATGTTTTCATCTGCCTTATTATTCTCTGCAGCCCCTAAATGAATTGGGTCCTTTACAAATACAGTCTTTCTTTTCCTGGCCTTTTCTATCACAGGAATTAGGTCCACCTGTATTGATTTTGAAGAATTGTTCTATGGATGAATGCAAAGTCCTGAGACCATTTGCATAATTTATTTCAACATTCTTTTGACTTGGAAAGAATGAAAAGTCACCCCAGTCTGGTTTGCATATTCCTCTCACAGTCTATAATGGGGCCCTGCAACAAAAGTGCTTGTTAAGCCTGGAACAAAAGTGATATGTTGAAAGAGCAGTCAGCTACTGTTAGGCCTTGTGTATTTCAGATGCTATGTAATCTGCCAGGTTCTAAACATGGCCTAAACATTCCCAAGATGGAGAGAGCAATCATATCCCTTTCAAGGAACAATCTGGTGTTGATAACAGGTGAAATGGAAATTGCACCCTAAAAAAACAACTGTCCCAGGGCTAGTTACAGAGTCTTATCTTTCTTTTGCCCTCAGTTTGAACCAATTCCAACTGGCAATTAGAAATCTTTCCCCCTTTTGAGCCAAGGAATGTAGAGGATAGAAAGCAAAAATCCTAAATAGCTCATTTGTATATTAGATTTTAGGACATAATAGACAGGGAAAGAATGGACACAATAGAAGAAAGGTCAACATCACTGATATTATTTTAGTTCAGAAACAGCTGTTATTTATTAGAAGAGCTATATACAGTACATACTTTTTGTATAATAGTCACTCTATATGACTATATATAAGATACACAGAAGGCTCTAACTTTGATGCCATAATATGTTTGTCAGGTTTTTAAAGCCCAGAGCTTGTCATCCTATACAAGCCCAAAGAATAACATTCAGGATACCCAGCAGCATCTGCAGGAAATTTCAGTGACACTTAAAAGACAACATCCATATGGTGTTGAAGGACTCTGAGAAAGGGATTTATTTAATTATTTATTTGTATCTTACCTTTATTATTTTTACAAATAACTCAAGGTTGCGAACATATCCAACAACACACCTTCCACCTACTATTTCCTCACAATAACAACCCTGTGAGAGGGGGTGGGCTGA